CGTATGCGTCATTACCTTCCTCCTCTTTGCGCCGCTCTGTTTTTCACGTGAATCACCTTCGCAAATCCCAAATGGAACCCTAGATCTCTCTTTACTATGGTACGGAAGCTTCACACCGGTACAAAAAGAGAGGGTTCGTGATTTCATAGAATCGCTTAACTTCGACGCCAAGGAAGGTCTTGACCCGAAAGTATCTTCGTGGTGGAAAGTGGTGGAGAGTTATCTAGAAAGGTTTGAGGTGAAAGAGATTTACCAACAGAAGTGCAACAAAACCGTAGCTCCAAGGATTAAGGTGAAGATTGTCCGGAGTTATGTGGATGAGAAGATGCAATATGGAGAGGATTTGACAATCGATAACAGTGAGAAACTGGTTGAAACAGCCATTGGAAATACATCGAAAGTGATCCCCGTGATATTGCTTGCGTCACAAGTTAGGACTCATGGCTTAGGGTTAGGGTTTTGTAACGGAACTTGCCAAAATTATGCCCTCCAACTCAACAATATCAAAGGTTTGATTTTCTCCTCGTAGCGATACTATTACAAAACTAATCTATTTTGTGAAAAGATTATTGGATTTTCTACATAATTATGTAAATGCCACTTAGGTGGAGAAAAACAACAACCGTACGTAATGTTGAGCAACCCGGAGGAGGAATGTCCCGGAGAGTGCGCATGGCCTTTCCACATGGCCGACAAAGGTCCACGTGGCATGACTTATCAACCGCCAAGTGGCGAAATCGGTGCCGATGCATTGATTATTCAGCTAGCCACCGGTTTGGCAGACATCGCCACCAATCCAGCTGTAACCGAGCTCTTATTCAAATCTGAGGTACCGTACAACACACTCAAAAGCAACGGCTCTTCGCATTATATCGTGGACCCTGCAACCGAGTGCTTTCGGGTTTACGGATCCGGAGCTTTTCCGGGTTTTACCGGGAAAATCCGGGTTGACCCGGTAACTGGTGGAGCATTTAACTCGCACGGAATCAACCACTTGAAATTCTTGATTCCTTCTATTTGGGACCCTAAGACCAAATCTTGCTGGACTCCTATGTAACCGTTGTTATTATGTTAATCAGTTTTTTATCCTTTTGATGAAATTTAAACTTTTTAAAGCTTGGTTTTAATAAAGGTTATGGTGGATTATTTGTTGTTGGAAATTGTTCAATATACATTTGGAGTTGGACCGATCATATCGTGTAAATTGAATTCTGCGAGAAAAGAAAATCTCTTTGATTTATTAGTGAAANGATTAATTTATTTGGCATATATAAAACGCTAACAAGTAAGAAAGTAAATTTCGACGATTTGTAACTATTCATGATTTTAGAAAATCTAAACAGTGAACTAATGTCTTTGATTGGCCAATGAAGAAGAAGTGAAAAAAATTAATAAGGATGCTACGAAATTAGTTGTCTCTTTGTCATCATATAATCAATTTAATCCTATAAGTGACTACAATTATTATTCAGCGTAAATAGATAGGATCATCCAAATAAAGAACCAAATAATGTTCGTATGTTACTATAAAATTAATCGTCAAACATTTCTCACCTTGTATATATATAGACTCCCATTGTTCAACTTCTTCATTGCATTTGTCTCACAAAGGAGTAGTCTTTGATATGGGAAAGGGAAAGGTATGTTCACTAGCTAATATGGTGATTTTTTTGTGTAATCGTATTATATATTGAGACTGATGATAATTTTTTTTTTTTTGAACTAAAGAACAAGCAAAATGGAGGATCAAATAACAATCAAAATGGAGGATCAAACAACAAGCAAAATGGAGAATCAAATAACAAGCAAAATGGAGATTCCGATAAGTCTGATAAGAAGAATCAATGCAAAGAAATTGTTTTGAAGGTTTACATGCACTGTGAAGGATGTGCT